GGTTTGAGGGAATTCTAACCCTAACCCTAGCTAAGGATTGGGAAGGTTAGGGTTAGGGTTCAGTCGACCTATAAAATATCAATACCACCTTCTACCCATTTCAGGGGAAAATATACTTCAGCCAATGACAATAACAGTCAGAAACCTTGACTCTTTTGTCAAGTAGTATATTAATAGAAATCTCATGTTCAGTGGTGTCCTCAATGAACATTGTTTTGGGCTTAGCTAGGGTAAGAGTCAGGAATACCCAATAAATACTCAATTTATTTTTTATTATACCTCTCTGGAATAAAAGGAAAATGGAAGAGTTTTAAAATTTTACTCAGGTTCTTTTGCTTTCAGGCCAGTATAGACAACATTCCCTTTTAGGGCATTGCAGTGCATATTGCCATACAGTATAAGGTTATATAAAATTAAATGCTTCAGGTATATTTCAGAACCAATACTCTATGTACAGTATGCAGTATTTTTACATTGCGAATATAATGAGAATTTCACATAAATATGTGTTGATATGTTATTTGTCATATTTATGTGTTATATGATATATATATAAATAGTGTTACAGTATATGAATGAAAAGCCATAAAATGTATGTAGTCTTATTATAAATGTATTCAGTAAATGTTCATTTGTATTTCTGACTGTTCCTCTATTTTGCATTATATAGTATACATCTAAAATGTAGTTTCAAGATGTATTTCTTTGGCATGTTTTGTGTGCTTCTGGAAAGCAATAACAATAATTCAGGCCAAAACACCCAGAAGGCACAGGAATTAAAGTGCAAGCCTATCTGTCTAACCCCACTATCTTTATAACTCTTTTGTTTTGTTTTCAGAAACACACTAAGACAAAACAAACACCTCAAATTACATAGAATTAAGTAAATAGGTTCCTTTGCTTTTCCTCCAGTTTAGTTGGCAGACTATCTTATTGTGTGAGCATTGCTCTTAAAGTGAAATTGTAAAAGGAGTTTGTGGAATTCAGGACAGTAGGTAAATGGAGAAAATATGATCGTATACTCTTAACATGATTATAAACTTCATCCTGGTTTGTGATCATTTTGGTACTTTCAGTTCACCACACTAACAAAATATTGTATTGTAAAATATATATTGTGTCTTACAGGTTTCAAAACAGTGGATATTTGTTCCAAATTATCATGTATACAGTGCCCTCCAGATTTATTCATACCCCAGATGAAATTGGGAAAAAAAAACATCATACAGCAGATTGAGTTACAAATTGGATAATGTGTTTCACTTAAAATGTCTAATAATATTATACTGTAATCTGTATAATCATAATTGCAGAGAACAAAATAATATTTTCCATACTGTGAATAAGTGAATTCCAGAAAACAATAAATTCACATTTATTCTCACTTCTAAAGATTGCTTTAAATACATTTCAGAAAATCGAAATCTACAATATCATTCTGCTCTTTAGGAGGGCAGTGGTAGTCTCAGGAGCTGTACAGAGTCCTCCGAAGGTTTAATGTCTCCCTGGGGTATACAGTAAAAGGACACAAAGCATTTTCATCATAGTTAAGGTCAGAGAGCTCTGTGAAAACTGCAGGCAACTGGTAATTGAGGTCTGCAAATTGGTCCACCTGATCATCCATTTAGAAAATATGAAGTACTTTGGTCACTGTACATAAATCAGGATTTGTTTATTGAATAGAACTGTTTTTATTGGACTCCTGGTTAGATTTGTGTTGAGGGAGTCTCTGCTTCTTTATGACCGTGGAACACGGCCTTATTTATATGACCTGTTCCTCATACTCATGTTTGCACCTGCTCTCTTGTGCCAAGAAGAAATCAAAACATTAAAGCTGTAAGGCTGCTATGATGATGGAGTGGTCTTGCTGGGGTCCCAATGCTGGGGTCTTGGGTTCAGTTCGGGACCTGGGGTGCTGTCTGTGAGCAGTCTGAATGTTCTCCTATTCAAACTGGTAGGTTAATTAGTTAATTAGATCAAATTGGTCCTGATCAGAGTGTGTGTGTCTGTGTCTGCATCAGTGTGCCTTGTGATACACTGACATCCCAGCACACTGGAATAGGCTCTGTCTCCCTGATGACCCTGAGTTTGGAAGATGTGGTTTGAAAATGAATGGATGGGATTATAATTACTATATATTTTACCATGTTGCCCACAGTAATGCCTGCCACTATATTATTGACACTATTACGGGCAATTATATTACAAGTCAAGATTTGTGCACCAAGAACAGCAAGATATTCACAGAGGTTTAGACTGTTGAAAAGGTGGAAAGTGTTGAATAAGCTGACACATGTAATTATGGACCGTAAGTGCTCATAGAAAACATGCTGCTGTCCTCAGAAGCTGTTGTTGCTCTGGCAGTTGACAGGCTGAGAGAGGAGTCCAGAAACCGCAGTGAAGCCCGAGACACAAGAAGAAAGGGGCTTGGTGGCTCTGGAGGCTCAACAGCAGTCAACTCCACGCAAGTCCTGCAGTCCACTGCTACCGCTGTCAGGGAGTCCTCAGAGGCAGGTAGGCCCAGTGTCCCTCGCAGTGCCGCCTGGAGCCCAGCACTGGGAGTCTGCCAGCTAGTCGCTGTCTTCAGCATCAGAAGATTCATAGAGTTTCTTCTTCTGTCACCACCCTGGACAGAGTGCAACGAACAGTCTAGTAATACTACTCCTAGAAAGCATCACTAATCTGTTTTCCCAGAGGCAGTATTATTCTGTTGACTATAAACAATATATTAAAAAAATTAAATGTAATTAAAAATTTAAATGAAAAATGCTGGAGGGGGGGGGTTAACAGTGAATTACATAATGAAAAATAAAGAATCTCACTTTGCAACCAGTAACTAGTCAGCGACAAACTGCTTCCCCGACAATCCCCATCTCTGCCCATTGTGTCCAAACTGCATCAAAAATGAATTCCTTTGATTTAAAAAATACATTTGATTTAAAAAAAAATATTTTGCTTCGGGCCCAGGGAATTTTGAAATTAAATTTCTCTTAGTAGAATTACATTAATTTAATAATTAATTATAAGTCCTTTTTGGATTCCGCAGAGCCTTCCTTGGTGTAAATGCTGCATTTTCGCTACAGTCATATACTGAGAATTGCAATAAGCCTGTAAGAATAGAATAGGCATTCCTTGATACAGTATATTCCCACAACTGGGGAAAAGAAACACAAAATTATACGCTTTAGTGTTTGACGCTTGGTGTCCGCTTTTTTCGTTGTGAGGCTGTGAGTCAGTGTCTGTCACTGTGTCTTGGAGCCTTTTCCAGAACGCTCTCTTCTGTTGCTCCCACTGGCTTGCAAGAGTGACAGATTGATGATTAGAACAAATCGCAGCAGTGATGGATGAGTGGCTGTGATTGACACATCCCCTATTACTATATAATCTAGGTGTCAAGGTACTGCCTTAGGCTCAGGAATGAACATATGCCCTAAAGCATTGCTATCCACTGAAAGTACATGTATTAAATACAAAAAGAGAAATATCACTAATTCCTTTTCCTCTTATATAGTGATTTAGTTACTGTTTAGTTACTGCATAAAAATAACATCACATAACATGTCTGAATCTGGATTATTCTTAATAACACAATTGTTTTACACATAATAATCAACTTTTTCATTGCAAACTGATACTGTAGATATCAGTAAATAAAGTTGTGACGTACTGGTGGAATATCATGTAGCAAACTCCGGGATAATTAATATTTTTATTTATTATTTAGTTGAGACTTTACATTAAAAAATCACCATTTGTTTCTTCACAGAGTGATGGTTAGGGTTTCGGATACAGTGACTTGAAAATTGTGGTATAATTTTCAGGCGGGACAGTGCTGTTAGGACACTGGGCGAGTAATGTTCCTTAGAATGTCCCGGTATAGTGTCCAGCTATATACATGTGAACAAATGTATGTTAATTTTCATAATGAATTGTTAACTACTTTTCAGAAAATGCAACCATTCGTCATTCCCCTTTTTTCAAAAGGATAAAAAGATGATTCTCTCCCACTGTGATGAAATACTGCTTTGATTTGACGTTTCAACTACAGACACACAAACGCACCCAAAATAAACAGCTAACAAATCAAAAGTTATCAAGAGCAGCTGAAGAAGCTCCCCCAGCCTCTGGTTCAATTCTGATAATAACGAGCAGGAGTCAAAGCTGACTTGAACAAAACAATGACCTACAGTACAGTATATCATATGATTGTTTTGTGTGCGGCAAGTATATAATCTGTGAATCCTGCCAAGCCCAGATAATAATGCCATGCTTGAACTAAAGATGCTTTCTGGCCAAGAAAGCTGGCTGCACCATGGTATTGTTCGTCTCAGAAACGACAGCAGAAAACACTGGCCAAGTCTGAGTGCCTCTCACACGACTTCTCGCCTTCCTGCCTGGTGGCCCCTCTGTAGCCAGCGCAGATGACGGACCTGTGAGGAAGCGCTCCAAGGGCGGGAAGAAGGATCGCTCTCGAACCCCCGACGCCGGAGAGAAGCAGAGCCATCAACAAGCGGAGAAGGAGAACTCCCGCAAAGACGCGCCAGCAAAGACAGTGCCTACCCGCCCCGAGACAGGTGTGGTCTCCATGTTGGAGCACCTTTCCTATGGTGAAGACAACTTAGTGTTCAGAAACACCATTTTAGACAACTAAACATTTTGATCAAATCACAGCATTTGTTTTCGTTAATAATCGTCTGGGTGACTGAAGGTGCATTTAATCCTCTCTTAAATACTGTATGTAAAGGTATTAAAGAAAAGCTACAGTATATGTACAGTAGCATGTATATTTCACTAGTGACTTAGTTTAACCACAGGAAAATACTATTTATAAATCCAGGTATTCCGATATGTGAACATTCTCCTAAGAGCTCCAGGGCAGAAATGCCACTTCACTGTGTTCCCAGATATCCTCTCTTGGAATATTCAGCATTCTCCTGCAGTGAGGTCATTTTTTATCCAGGCATTGCATAAGCCAGACCCGCCTGCAGCAAAGGAATGTGTTGTACAGAGATTTGTTTGCAAGGTGAATGAAGAGCTGTGAAGCTGCAGTATAATGTAGTTTTAGGGCGCAGAAGCTGAAATAAGGAGCCTGGGTAGTCTAGAGTTTCAGGTAAAGGACTGCTACTGACTCACTGGAGCAAGCTTTCCTCTGCTCTGATGAAATGCACCTCACCTCAGTTCTGTAGATTTGCGTTAGAAAAAAACATCTGATAAATGACTTTAATTTGTTAAATAGAGTAGGGGGATGTTACAGAGGCCCAGATAAAATGACTGTACAACTTGAAATCCATGAATGCTTAGTTATAGACCCAATATTTGGTATAGCAGATAGTAAGTGGTCTCAGGTTTGAATTGCATCCAGCATAAAAGGTCGATTTTTAAGTTCTAGTTAATTATTTTTGACTGAATTTCAGGAATCGCACATTTTCGCTCACACCTACCCAATTTGGAATTGCCAGTTATTCCACAGTGTTTCGCTGTGCTTGAGTCCTCCTCCAGCTTTCCCCCTGTGAGTCGCAGAGCGTTCACAGGAGAGAGAAGTAGTGGGAGGATATGATATGGCTCTTGTTGGAAACTTCAGCATCAGACAGGCTTTCCTATAAAAAACATCACAACCATTGCCTTTCCGACAATTGCACACGGGGCAGCTGAATCTTAAGCATTCTGAGATTAACTTGCACGTGATGTATTTCTTCATTTATTTCTTTGTATCGCCTATCCTCCTCCAGCAAAGAAAACATTTTTCTGTGAGACCACAGCCCCAGCAGACGTTGTTCTGCTGGTCGATGGCTCCTGGAGTATCGGACGGACAAATTTCAAACGGGTGCGAGACTTTTTAGAAAACCTCATCACACCATTCAACATTGCCAGTGACAAAACAAGGATAGGTAGGTGGTGGTATAAGAAATCCATCCCGAATGTCTTTTTACTTTAACCTACCCGGGAAGGCCTCAAGAGAGCCTTAGAAAATGTGCAAACCCTATGAAGTCTGTAAAATTAACTTTTTGTCCCACTATGGCAGGGGTTTTAACCTGAGGTGTCTACAAGAGTTACGGGAATAATGTATAATTTAAACATACACCCAACATTTAAACACCCACTCAATATACGTCAACAGTGATGTCATCATGAGAGATGAAAAAAGACAATACATGCGCAATGCTGAACCATAATACTGTACAGTATATACTCCTTGGTCAGAATGTTTTTTTCATTTCATCAACATCTTGCACACTTTCTGAGCAGGTGTAACAAACCGCTACATATCACAACAAAAAAAATAAATTAGAACAAAGTTGCGATACTGCCTGTCACTGATCAACACGGTGTTAAAAATTCTGCTCCTGTTCTTTCAGGTGTGTGAATCCCAGTGCTGTTACTATTGTTCTGCTACATAATGAGTATTCAAAGCATTTTTTTGTGAATTTAAATGTTAATTATATTTTAATTTTGGAATTATTGACTTCTTGACTGTTGTGTCTTGAACTGAAGAAACAATTATTTTGCATATTATACTGGTACCTTTAGCAACCCATGAAACAAAGAGCATTATCAAAATTGATAATCACTTTTGGTGGGGGTGTGGGGATATCATGTATTGATGTAGGGGGCTGCCTGAACTGTGGTAATCAGTTCTGCTCTTACCAATAGAGCACACTACATTTATAATGGCTTCATCATCACTACACCACACGAATGTAATCGAACTTTTTGATATTATATTTGAGAAAAGAAGTCGGTGATCTTTGCTGGTTTAGCCCCAGTAGACAACACTGAGCAGGGTGCCGTCCAAACAGCATATTCATCAAATTTGCTCGTGAAGGGATCACAGGTGCTTTTCTCTTATGTTAAATATTTGGGGTCTAACAATCTGTGCACATGTACTGTAGGTAATGCAGCTCTTTCTCGTACTGCTCTTGTCCTCCAGCACTGTCTCAGTACAGTGGAGATCCACGCACAGAGTGGAACCTGAATAACTTCACCACCAAAGACCAGCTGGTCGAGGCTGTGAGGAACTTCCGATACAAAGGAGGAAACACTTTCACAGGTAGCTTTACTTTTCTGTCTCCGATTTTGCATCTCCACTTTTTATCCTTCAGTTAGGGACTCCAAGCTCAGTCACTGGCTTTACTGCTTCATCTGTGACTGTTTGTATAGTTCCATTACTACTGATCCTGTTAAAAGAGTGCTGTTAGCCCAGTTTGGGCATTAACTGACTTACTTCACTCAATAAAATATTAAAATATTAAATACATACAATTATAGTAGGACATTTATTTTTAATTCACAGTAGCACAACAATCTTTGTGAAGATTGTGAAAATCCTAAACATAAAGTGAACTATTTTATTAATAGCACACTGTATCTTCCAACCGTGTGACAGTTCATTGTTATACCATTGGCATGCTAACTGGTACAGTGAAATGGCTTTAAGACTTGCTTGCTGGTGGGGTTTTAGACCTGTTCAGTGAGGTCTCATCCTAGTGAGGTGAGGAAAGCGTCTAGTTCACTCAAAGAAATAAATGGAAACAATTGCTCTTATGGGGACCATTGAAGAACATGTCAGGAGCCATGGACTTCATTGCAATAGCAGATCAGGACTCCTTGTCACATCTGTCTCTCAGGCTTTCTGAACTTCCTATCACTTAATTGAATTAATTAGTGGATTAGTTGTCTGAAATTTAAAACATTTACACTTCTTTAGCTGCTGATCTATTCAGGATTTTATAAAGCACTCCAGGTTAGTAGCTTTAGGTATAGTGGAACCCAGACATCGCTGAGCTTTCACAAACAAATGCAAAAACTCAATAAGGAATGGCAACACAAAAAGCCAGCAAATAGCCCAGCAATAGTATTGTCTTACAGTCTACAATTCAATCCCTTAAAGGCAAAATTCTAGAAGCTATGAAATTGCTGCTTCAACATAAATCAGTTTTTCCCTGTCTGAACATCTCAACTGTTTGGCTCCCAGCTTTTGAAAATGACTCAATCTTTGGGAAGGGTACATTCTTAGAGAGGTGACTCTGCCAGACATTTACGCCCCCAAGTATTTCTTATTTTTCACGTCTAGCGCCCTTAAACCCGTTGACCGATCTAAAGCCTGGAGCCAATAGCAGCCTGCAATACGTTTGTTTTGTCTGATTCCTTTGTTCATGAAAGTTACAGGGCAAAACCACACTTTGAAGGATGGAAAAGTACTTGTAGCTGTTGGATGTCTGAAAGCAAATGATCGCTTTGACTGTTTGAGTATTGTGCTTGGCAGCTGATTGTTGCGTGGCAGAAGATCATATGCAATACTGCTCATTTTAATATTGCATAACGAATACATACTTCAGCATAATAATGTGCAGTGGTGTTATACTTTACTAGTGACATTAACTAGTGCAGGGCAACAGAGTTTCAATACAGAAGTTACACACAGGTGTTATTTTACTGCCCAAGTCCTATTTAAAATAACACTCTTCTATTCACTTAATCACTTAAAAAGCAATTGCTTTTTCAACACTTGGTTATTCAAAATCTGTGTGGAAGAGCAAGTTTTAAAAGCACATTTATTCTGGAAGCTCACATAGCACTGACTACACATGAACAAGCGTGGCACTAGATCCGCAGTTCCGCTCTTCCAGGCAGCTGGCTGAACTAGAATGTGCCTTTGAGATTGCTTTTTAGAGAGCTCACATGCTCTTTGGTGTTTGTGACTGCTCATTCACTCAGCCAGTGAGGCCTGCGCCAGCAGCTGCACCTCAGTCTTCAGTATTTTCTCTTCTTATTAACTCTTGAAAATAACTCTTTTAGACTTCAGCCCAAAAACAAGAGAACCTGCTCCTTCTACTAGAGCTCTGCTAGTCCTTTTCCCCTGCTTTTCTGGAACTGTTTGGGTGGCTAATCCACTCGCCAGCTTTTCCACAAAACAAAACTATTTTTCCTCAACAACTTACTCCTTTTGAAAGTAATTCTTTCCTTAGTCAAGAACCAAAATATAACAGAGCCACCAAATCTGAACTCAGATTTGCACTTCCTTGCCCCCTCCCCCTTATATACATTTAGCACAATCCTTCATTGACAGCACCTGTGCTCAGTTAATTCAGGGCAGACATCCCATTGGCCTTAATAAGCTGTGGCCATCTGGGAAATGTAGTTTTCATACTCTTTTATGACTCCGGGCACTACAGAATTGAAATGGGGAAAGTTAAACATGGGAGAAACTGTGCTATATTCTATGTCCATGGAAAGATACCCTTAATGGTTTTACACTGTATTTCTTCTTTGCGCTGCAAGAGCAGTCTGAGGAGCCCACTGTCTGTTTGTTCTCAGAGGAAATGTCTCAGAAAGACTTTGGTGTTTATGTAGACACATCTTTTGTGTAATACAAATAAGTAATAAGTAAGACCCCAGGAGAATATTGTCTACACTTTTGCTCACTCTGTTAGAGTAAATATATATTGCAGCTCTGGAAGCAGTCCAGATAAGAACAACCAGATACATTCTGGGCCTTAAGAAATTTCCTTCACTGACAGGTTGGAGGAACTGGAACTTTTTAGTCTTGAACAGAGATGACTGATAGGAGACCTGGTAAAAGTTTTCAAAATCATTGTCAACATTAACTCAGTGGATTTCTTCAGAATGAACAGTGGGACACAAACCCAAGGGCACAAGAGGAAACTCCTTGGAAATGCATTTAAATCCAAAAACAGGAGACACATATTTACATAAAGGGTTGTGGGAGTCTGGAACAAGCTACCTAGCCATGTTCATAAAGCTCGATTCCTTGGTTTCTGTCAAGAAACAGCAGACTTGGATCCATTAAATACTACTAACTACCAAATGGGCCGGACGGGTCATTTTGGGTCTCACTGTATATAAATACTTTCGGCTAGGTCAGGCTTTGATGCACGTCCTGAAAGAGAATCTTCAGGTGGGATCTGGAGCCCGGCTGGACTCTGCTAAGTTTGTCGTTCTGCTCACTGATGGCAAGTCCCAGGACGATGCCATCTTTGCGGCTAGGACGCTGAAGCAAGCTGGGGTTGAGATCATCACCGTGGGTAAGACATGCCCTAGAGCCAGGTCTGCTTGCACCTTTCAAGTCTGTCGTTTTAACAATTTCCTCCAATTGACATACTGTACCTGTGTATGATTATAAATATTATTAACAACAGAACTAAAAGCGTTTTTGTCCACTCATAAGTAAGTTTCATAAGTAAGGTTTGGGATTGCTGTGCGTGGAAAAGAAATAGAGAAAAGGTCCAAAGGACTGTGCAGGAATTATCTAGAGATGAATCATAAAACAAAAATAAGGCAGATCTAGATAACAAGAGTGATACCATCTGGTTGTAATCAGGTTTTCATTACTATTACAGTTGCTATTACAAAGGCTTTTTGCAGGACATTTGCAGGTGAAACTTCAATAAATTACTGTCTGCGAGTCAAACTAACTTGCTAACTAAAATTGGGAACAAGTAAAGGTTAATTCAATGCTGAAAAATAAAATGCAGAAAGAACGTTTGTCAGGTGTGTTCATCAAAAAGTCCCCCTTCCTGTTTAGGTAAATCTCTCTTTCTAAATTACAGTATGTGTATATATACAGCATACTGTATGCATATGGCTTTATAATGCATTTGTTTCCATATCAGAAACAAGGTTATTTATTATTTTAAGTGTAATAAATGTTGTTAAGCAATGCATATTTGTCAATGATATTGATAATAAATTATTGATCATTTTAATAAAGCATTTTAGTGAAATATTTCATTTAAGATACAGAACGCCAATATATACATTAGTATCCCTGCAGTCATATGTCAACTGGGCAACTGAGAGAAATAAAAACTTTCAATATAATAATTGAATATAACAATAAACATATTTAATTGGTGCGGAAGTGCATTTCTCTGAGCTGTAAAGAGTTACTGCTCTTACTGTCCTTACCGTTTAACATAATCCCTATACTGGTGATCCGTTTTTGAAGTGTATTTTTCCAAACTGAATCTGCTGTGCAGGGGTGAAGAACGCAGACGAGGCTGAGCTGAAGCAGATCGCCTCGGAGCCCGTTGAGCTCAATGTCTTCAATGTGAACGACTTCCCTCTTCTCCGAAAGCTGGTGGACAAGCTGAGCCGCACTCTGTGTCTGAGGATCGAGGACAAAAGCAAAGCAAAGGGTAGGGTTTCTTCCTAGAAGAACAGCAATTCTTCTCTGTGTTGACAACATGAGAACATACTGTAAGAAATGGTACAGGTTCATGTATCTTATCCAGCACATTTGGAAGTGACTGATTTAAGTGTTACAGTATGTTTCACTTTAAGTGCTGGGTTATTTAGTGGGCTGTCCTATTCTGTCAATAGGCTGAAAAAATTTATAGCCAGGGTTGGAGGCCCTCTTTAGAGCATTTTTTGTACTTTGAATTTATTACAGGTGTTACTAGAAAGCTTAAACTTGGGAAAGGTTTGCATTGACAAGACAATGTTTTTACAGTGAATGCCATCTCCTACCATACATAAACACCTTGTTCTTCAGTTTCTGGTGGTATAGTAACAGCTGGGCAATGTGAATGTGAATCTCAATATCTACCTGTCATACAGTACATATTGTCACGGGTGGGAGTTCATTCTTGAATCCCAGGTTGTGCTGGATAAGCCACTGCCCCCTTTCTGTAGTGTTGTCTATGATGTTTTGCCCATTCTAATATCCAATATATGAGAGGTAGCAGAAAACAGACACTGTGTGAACTACTCTTTGAGAATGCTCTTTGGAGCTGCCAAAAAAGGGTGGAACATCATTTTTGGTGATTTTTCACAGCTGACCAGCCCCATGTACCACTGACCTACTGAAAAAATGTTACAAATGAATACCCCCCCCACCATAATTTGAATTAAAATCACACAAGCCCATGTACCTGAAACTTATGGCTCTCCTGTATAGAAGTGGGGATTAGTATTCTTTAAGCAACACATGGTAGATCTTTTGTGTTTATATGTACTTGCTTCTTATGTTAACAAAACTGCAGTGAATGCATATGCAAAAAGATTTTATACCACATACAGTATCGGTCTTGCTACAACCCCATATTGGATTAAGATGCTATTGAAAATGGTTGGCTGGATTTTGCCATGCAGCTCCACGCACCTACCCCCTGTTCTGCTCTCCCATATGATAACAAGGCTCAAGAGACAGCCCCCCTTGACCCAATGCGTTCCTGTGTTGCAGTGACGGAGAAACCTACCCAGGCTGCAGAAGAGACTTTTCCTGGGCCCACAAACCTGCTCTTCTCCGAAGTGAAGTCTCGGGAGTTCAGGATGAGCTGGAGTCCACCGTCCAGGCCAGTGCACAAATACAGAGTCGTCTATCACAGTGCAGAAGGAGAGAACCCGCAGGAGGTTAGTCCTTCATTGGTGACGTCGCTCTGGTGGAAAAGTCGGACTCTGACCAACATTTACACCATTGTACATTGCAGAACAGCAATCTCCATCCTTACTCTGGATCATTGTGTGAGTTTTGACAGTGAACAAAGGCCCATAATCTACTTTTTAATCTCGTTACAGCCTGGTCACAGATACATTACTAATGGATCATTTTAAACACACGCCAAGACTTGTGCGCTTAGTTTGAATATATAATATATATGTAAAAACTGACTTTTCTCACAATAAATTGCTGAAACGTTAAAATGCTGCCGGAGGACAGTTTTTTTGTTTCAAGTTTGGAACACTGTTAAAAAGATTTAAAAAAAACACAAGAGTTACAGCAATGTGTCTTCAGATTTCACAATAGCACTGTGTTTTGATACACCAGTCACACCAGTTACTATTACAAAACCAGATGTCGAGTGGCTCTATTACAAACCAGTGCTTAATCTGGATTTCACATATTATGAGTGATATGGTATGTTGTTTCAGTTGTATTATGTACTCTACAGGAAGATTTACTGTGTGTGTAAATATAACTGACTTTTCTCTGTATTCTGTAGTCAGTTAGTTGTATAATGTGTGTAAATCCCTTATATTCCTGTAATTTAGAACCAGGTGTTCTGGGCATTTTTGTCAGAAAGCAGCATAAATATTTATAGTTAGATTTAGACAGGTTTTTCCTTCAGAATTGTTTTCATCTTTTAATTTGCATTTTATATATACTGCTTTTACCTCCATCCCACCCATGTTTTGGAGAAGCAATGAATGTTTGGAGAATATATTGTATTCTAAACTATTTTAAATGTTATTTAGTAAAAAAACAAAAACAATACAAGTATTACTTAAAGTTGTCTGCATTTTGGGAATTTCCCTGAAATGCCAAAACTATAATTGACATGTTTCCTTGGGTCTCTTTATTTCCGGCTCAGCAGCCTGTTAATGGGATGTTTTGTAGGTGGTGCTGAATGGCACAGTGTCCAGTGTCCTGCTGGAGGGCCTGTCCTCTCAGACAGAGTATCACATCTCAATCTTCCCCGTTTACGACAACAGCGTTGGCAGTGGCCTTCGTGGATCGGTGACAACATGTACGTGTCTAAAACCACTACCTGATGGGAATGAAGCAACAGAGGTGTAGCATCAGTGTTTGGCCAATGCAATTAATCCAGGATGAAGTCTAGAAGGTGTGAGTGACCGTAGAGTGATCAAATATCCATGTAGATTTTAGGGGAGTGGTGTCACAGCCACACCTCTGGATGGGTCTAACCCTAATTTATACTAAATTCTCCTCTCCTCAGCTGAACCAATTAAAGTTGACATGATTTTGACAATTGTGAAATACTGGAGCCAGGGCCCAGGGTCAAAGAAGACTGCCGTAGCCTGACAAATGAAGATGACCTTCTTTTAGGCTTAGTCCTGTTGCCTGGAGAAAGCAGTGTTCTCCTAACTCCCACCCTGCCTCTGCCATTCCAGTGCCACTGGTGCCTCCGCAGTACCTGCAGATCTACTCCACATCTCACAACAGCCTGCGGGTGCGCTGGCAGCCGGCTCAGGGCGCCACTCAGTACATGGTGCTCTATTCCGCACTGGCTGATGGAGAGCCTGATGATGCCAAAGAGGTAGGTCAAAGGTCAAGGGGCAAGGCAACTTTGCCATTTGCTACATTCAATGTCAGATGGAAACAGAGCTGCTTGAAATGATTAGATGATTTATATCTGTAGTCAAAAATATTGTATTTATAAAGCATGGGGCTAAAATTAAAGGGTTATAAAATTGCAGGCATTGGGTGGCAGGATATTCCAGTAACACCACTGAGTGAATCTAAATTACAATGGCTTTTCATAGGTACAGTATGTGTACTGTATAAAGCAGTACGAAAATGCATGGATGGTTTTTCATAGGCATGTCTGAAAAAATACATTTCCACTCTTGTCACATGGATCAGATTCTTCTATGATAAAGTGCTGATGAAGAACATTTCAATTAAGGATTTTATTTACAGAAATTTTCAACTTAAATCACCTCAGGAAATAGCATCCTGTCCTGCTCCCAGAACAACCAAATCATGATTTCATGCAGCTCACAAGGGAAGACAGATCTAAATGCCTCAAAGAACAATCTTTTCATCTTTCCGTGGAGAAGATGCAGAGATTTAAGAGGTTCCCATCTCTTAAATGGAGTCTGCCTCTCCCTGATCATAGCAGTACTTATGGAGCTCGGAGACACCAACTGAGACTCACATGCAGGTTGGCAGGTGGTACAGCCTCGATAAATACCTGCAGTCACTATGCTGAATGCCTCTTGCAATTCTGCTTTTTGTGGCAACTGCTTGTGTAAACGTGAATCTCTTCATTCTTGCGGCCTTCAGACAGATTTTGCAGGCCTACAGTACCAGACGCTGTTAGAAAGTGAAAACAGTAGAGCTTCAGATAAGTCTAGTCTGTCATCAGTGCTGTTTGGACAACATCATCCTACATCCAATATGCTGCTGAAAGACATTAAGAGCCTTGTGTTTCCATGGGAACTGACAGGTGAAGTTCGGTGCAGAACAGACAGATGTTGAGATTTCTGGCCTGCAGCCTTCGACAGACTACTCTATAACTCTGTATGCCCTTTATAACGAGGACCCCAGCGATCCCATCACTGCCATGGCAGCAACACGTGAGTACACATGGAGGAGCTGCAATTACTTTTGTTCCTGGATGTCTTGACGGTTCTGTTAATGGTTACTGTGTATTAGATGTTTCCGATTGTGATTTCAAATGCTAACAAATTCAAGCCTTGCAGTTATTTTCATTTTAGTTGACTGCCTCACTCTTAACTGGGCCTATCATTCATTTGAACAGTTTTACCAGCTCTTTAGTAGTTGCTAATTTAAAGAAACCAAGACAAAAATTCATGGTCAAACTGCAAATATTTCTGCACCATCATTTCAAGGACTGTGAGTACATTCTCAAAATAGACAGCATAGTCATCTACACCTTTGAGGATTAATGGCTTCTTCCCATTTGTAACATGTCCTGAAGTTCTTATGACTCAAATCGTGTGAAGGAGTATTATCCCGTAGACTTGTGAGTTCCTGTCCTGAAGCTCTTCCTTCCTCCTTGCAGAGCCACTCAGCCCCCCTGTGAAGCTACTCTTCCCCCAGGTCAGCCACAGCTCCATCAGAGTGAGCTGGGTGCCTGCTTCAGACAGGGTGCCTGGGCACCAGCTCACCTACAGCACCAATCACGGCAGTGATGTCAAACAAGTGAGTATCAGCTCTGCCCGCTGGATTCTGGGCAGTGATGTTGTTCTGTTCCTTCCCCTTTGCGACATCTCAGATAAGAGCATTGACTTCATGGCCAACATTAACTAGCATTTGAAATGTTTGCATTCTGGTACAGTTCTGATAATGCAAACAGCAGCCTATTCAGGTTGCTGCTGGAAGAGGTGTTAGTGGGGCCAGCAGGGGGCACTCACCCTGCGGTCCATGTGGGTCCTAATGCCTCAGTATAGTGACGGGGACACTATACTGTAAACAGGCGCCGTCCCTCGGATGAGACATAAAACCGAGGTCCTGACTCTCTGTGGTCATTAAAAATCCCAGGGCGTTTCTCGAAAAGAGTAGGGGTGTAACCCCGGTGTCCTGGCCAAATTTCCCATTGGCCCTTACCAGTCATGGCCTCCTAATAATCCCCATCTATGAATTGGCTACATCACTCTGCTCTCCTCCCCACTGATAGCAGGTGTGTGGTGAGCGTTCTGGCGCACTATGGCTGCCGTCGCATCATCCAGGTGGATGCTGCACATTGGTGGTGGTGGAGGGGAGTCCCCATTACCTGTAAAGCGCTTTGAGTGGAGTGTCCAGAAAAGCGCTATATAAGTGTAAGCAATTATTATTATAATAATTATTATTATTATCCAAATCAACTGAGGCTGTCCAAGCTGTGTGGTATATGGCAGAGGTAATGTCAACTGGGAAGTTAGCAGGCCCTGATATAAGTGTTTACATGCTTGTGGTTCTGTCAGTTTGTGCCCTGCGATGGACTGGCATCCTGTACAGGGTGTATCTTGCTTTACAGCCATTGCTTGCTCGGTCAGGCGCCAGCTTCCCTACAATACTGAATTGGATGAAGCTACTAGACAGTGGGGGAATTGATAAATGGAGCTGTACTTTGTTACATTGATTTGTCATGAATCAAATATATAGTATTCATCAAAGCATTGGAATCGATTCTTCATCTAATTAAGTTAAGTTAATACAAGATCTTGTTTTCTAGGTGGATGAAAAATATATATATCATGTTATTGAAAAAACACCACAGATAAGTTATTATCACCAAGAATCTTGAAGTACACTAAGGCTCTGGGAGTGAATCCCAGTCAGTCTCACTGTGGAAGTCATGTATGAGTGGCAAGTACATTGCTCTCTCCGCTTGAAGATCTACTTCACCATTTCAACTTCTTTCCTCCTCAAGGTGGACGTTTCGGGCACAACTGCCCTCCTCCTCAGGAACCTCTCCTCGTTGTCTAACTACGTGGTGGCTGTGCGCTCAGTGTATGAAGAGGGGCTTTCCATGCCGATCACTGGCAACATCACCACCTGTAAGCTACTGCACACTTTCTATTTTAAAAGAAATGTCTGCTTTACTCGGGTATTCCTTTAATTTTTAAAATTGTTAGGGGCAGGCTGGAGGTTATTCAATTTGACATTCCTAATTCTGAGGAGTTATGTGGTTCAGACACCTGAACCATCGGTAGCGTTTAAAAATATGATTTTTCCTATTGAGATCAAAAAGTAGCAATGAGTATACATTTTGACTTAATTCTTGAAGAGACTAGCTGTGAAAGAGTACAGTAGGTCACATTTTGTCTGTTATTTTGGGGAACAAAGCTGGACACTGAGGCTGCGTGGATCGTCAGGTTGTAAGTGATCCAGAGATGAAGATTAAAATATGGTGTCTAAGTAAAAATGCTATAGAGAGAAGTATGAACCCCAGTCACTGAAACAGATGATTAAAACTAGTTCAGCTGGAATAACAGAAATTTCTTTGCCCACCTAGGAAGTGCAATTAGTATAGTCACATTTAGTACTTATTCAGCAAACATCATTAGCCTGAAAAACATAAAATTAACTCAGTTTATTTCACCAGTTTACACAATAGAACACACATTACATATTCTGATTACTGCTCTTTTGATTCAGCAATCAACTGCATTTGAGAACAGACAGTTTCTCCACTGCTTTGAGAATATTGCAGCCAGATGAACTAGTCATACCAAATAATACTTGGGTGTATTGTACTGCAAGGTATCTTATTTCCCAGAGAGTTTATTTCACAGGGTATGTGGATACTAATAACAAGATAATAGTAATTAGGCTGAATGTCATTCTGAACGAATACATTTGGAACTACGCTGGGAAGCAGTTTGTTTCCAGTTTTAGGGTCTCGTCTTGTCCTAAAACTGTTTGGCGTTCTCACTGACTGTGTCTGTGCAGTGAGAGTGCCCTCGCCCTCTGAGCTGAGGGTCGTCGGCTTCACTGGCAGCGACATCAAGGTGCAGTGGAAGCCGGCGGCCGATGATGTCATCTCCTACCTGCTCAAGTGGATCTCTCTCAGCGGGGGGAAACTGAACCAGGTTAGACAGCCTCCGTTCTGGGTGCCCCGCCACCCTCTGGATTCTTGATCAGTTCAGTCACAGGGTACGGCCGGCTTCATAACACAGATCAGAAAACACTGTTCAGAAGATCTGCAGCTTGTGAGGCCCGAGCACACGAAAAAGCACAATGTTCAGTAAAGGTATCTTGCAAGGGAGTCTTTATTACACACAATCTGCTGTATACACAAGACCAATACTTGCACTATACCAACCCAACTACCACCAGAAGCCCCTTATAAACCTGCAGCAGTCTAATTTAGCCCCATGTGAAAATGTAGTTCTCATTCCCTCACCAATTAACTAACTAGACAATACACCTCATGTAAACCTATATACTGTACAAACATTAGAGGCCTTAACGACATCTAGTTGCAGGTCTGAAACTACTATCCTCAGTACAGCTGGCCTGCCACAAAGGAACATTACCGAAATATGGGAATAACTAATTACAACATTTGGGTAAATGAGCACAACTATGTTCTTTTAAAAGATTGTGAAGTAGAATGAAGGCTTTTTATCAACTGAGTGAAAGCATCCTACAGGCTTTTCCTTGAGTAGACTCTGTTGATTGGAATAACGAATATTTAAAGGTGAGGAGATGTTTTTGAATTTGTCCCGGAGCCCACGCTGGGAAAGACTCACCTGGGCAAGCTTTTGTGACGCGCCTCCTGCGTTTCAGCTTGTGGTGGGCGGGGGCAGCGAGTCGGCGGTGCTGGAGGCTGTGGAGGCGAATGCCGAGTACCAGATCTCCCTGTCCGCGCTGTACGCCGACGGGGCGCAGAGCGAGGCGGTGGCCACCCGCTACAGCACCTGTGAGTAGAGCAGGGCCGCTCACTCGCTGGCTCGCTCGGGGCCACACGAGGGCCCTGTTACTTCCACTATCCACCCACAAGTCTCAGCTCTTGCTGAGGCAAAATCCTTTAGGGTATCAGTGCCAGTTGCTGCAAATTCCTTCAGTTTCCCATCAGGGCAGCATTCCTGTTGGACACAAAATGCCCTCTGAGGGAATTTGAAGGGATCTCCCGTTTTTCTGCTTTGTAAGCAGATGCTCTACCCAGGCGCTGTCCACTGCGCTGCAGGCTGTTTTCTGTAGCTGGTACTCCCTTCTGAACTGGACAATTCCACCTCTGTTCCTCCAGGCTCCCTGCCACTGCGCTGCGGTGGAGGGAGTGTTTTAGCACTGGACGGAATTCAAGCTATTCATGTTACTGCGGCCTTTTATTACATGGTTTACTCACACCCTTCGGTGTAAATCGTGACAGTTGCGGGATTTAAAGATGTGGTAGCGCCACAAGTCTTTGATCTGTGCCTTTGAACGCTGAAGGAACACTTTGTCTTGGTAACACTCCAGGATGCAGACAGAATACGGAGTAGGGCCGGTGGCCCTGGGCACAAGAAAACACAAGAAAAACTTAGTGTATAAAATTATCAATGGACCTGGTAACCCTGGAGAAACAGATTAAGAGTCCTAATCAAAATCATGTTCAATGAGCTGCATAGATTCAGGCCTAATGGTTAGGGAAATAGGATATGTGCTCATGGGCATGAATTGAAGCACAATTAATAAGATAAGATGTCCTAGTACTCAATATATTCTGATAAGAAAGACATGCTGAAAACATACTTCGAAACCCCTTTTCAAAGGCAATCAGAAGGTCAGGTTGATGCTACACTGGATGCTAACTGGACACATTGACACTCCTGTTGGACACTATTATAACTGAAAAAGCATCTGAAATTAAAACCAAAAGATCCTGATGCTTTCCACCACTAGAACCTTGCTTTGAAACAGTCAGTCATTCTAAAACAATAAGATCAAATGATTCTGCCGTGTTATCTGTCTTTAGTTTCTGGAGGTGGTCCTTCCAATGTTGTAATAGAGGGGGAGACAGTGAACAGCCTGTTGGTGAGATGGGAACACCCCAATGCTCATGTTTCTGAGTACCACGTGGTCTATACTGCAATGAAAGGAGAACCCATTGAAGAGACCGTAAGTGCAGCAGGTGATATTTAAATCAAGATATTTTGACCTTGAGGTTTAACTTTGGAATGGCCCTCGTTTGAGATAAATTTTCCATCATCTATTTCACACCTGTATTTGTTAAAACTTTCTTGCCTCTGGAAAAAGAGTCAATTTCCGTCTGGTATGATGTCCCCTCCAACATTTTGTAATGTCTCTGGAGGTTTATATAGTAGAAGCCTGGTTTATGGCTTGAATCACATCTTAACCTTGCTCTGATTTTTGAATACATTGTTAGCCATTGTTTCAGAGTTGCAATTTTCAGACCCCCAAAAGATGAGCTTTGAACCTGACGTTCTCTGACCTGCATTTCTAGCTGTCTGTCCCTGGGAAAGAGAACAGTGTTCGACTCAGGTCGCTGCTCCCAGACACCAAATACAGTGTTCTGGTCACTGCCATGTACAGGAACAGAGAGGGAGGGAGTGCCTCAGCACACGGGAAAACATGTAAGTAGAAAATCCTTCTGATCTCTGACATGTCTGGTTCCATACAGCACAGGCCTGGAAAGAGAGCTTAAAATAACACGGAGCAAGGGAATCTACCTGTTCCTATCGATCAATTTTTTTTCATGGGTTTATTAAAGTAAAGAGTCACTGCAGTGACTTCAAGACGATGTTGATCTTTCCGAAAAGGCCGAGTCACAATATTCTAGATCAGCAGTCTATTCCTCAGAGATTGTGTTGATCAATCTCAAAAAGGCCAGGTCACAATATTCAGATCAGGGGCCAACAGTTCCACGAAACAGTTGCTGAACCCCTGTATAATTAGGGGAATTACAATTTTGTACTGTGATGCCCCTGTTTAACTGACACTAGTCTTTTCATAAATAACCAGAAGGGTTTATATTCATCTATTCAGTGTTTGGGACACATTAGTATATGAAGAAAAAATAAATACTTTAGAATCAATGTATATGAAATAATAAGTGATTTCAGTACTTAATTTACTTAACACCTATAAGGGGGCAATTAGAATTAGGTGGCTGAATAGGTAACTAGTAATTATTTAGTTCCTACAGCCATGTTGTAAATATGGTCAGAGACAATAAGATGGGATTTGCAAGAACATGTTAGTGTCAACCTCCTACCCTTGGAACAAAAGAACATGGTTTGGAATCCAGTGGTTTGGGAATTGTGAGTTGTACTGTATGATTTTGTACGCACATTTCTAGTGTGGTCCTGCATCGCTAGATTTGACGTCCTTATTTGAGTATCACCAAGTGCGGTTTAATTTTCTTTTGTGCACAGCGAGCTTGCGAGTCAGCAGTCTGAACGTCTATAAGTCAGAGCAATCCAGCCTCTGCGTTTCCTGGAAGCCCCACGGCGCTGCTACTGGATACAGAATAGTTATCCAGTCTCTGAAAGGTACAGTAGATGCCTCGGCTTCTGCATGCCCCATACAGTGTATGATCAGGACGTAAAAGTGGGACAGAGACTGCTTTAAAGGATTTCTGTCGTGTCTTGACTTTGTGTACACGTCTTTTTAAGACAAGACGATGGAGGAGCAGAAACTGGACAGCTCGTCCAGCAGCCACTGCTTCACCGGCCTGCGGCCTGAGGAGGTGTACCAGATCAGTGTGTACACCCAGGTCCAACAGGTGGAGGGCACGCCGGTCACCGTGCTGCACTTCACAGGTAACCATCCGTGCTTTCCTTTCACTGGAACTCAAGACCAGGATGTGCCAGATAGACGATACTGCATATTTGTATGTCTCTCAAATTCTCACTGTAGAATGCAGTACTTTAGAAGGGAGACAAGGATATAGTGACAGGATATAGTGTTGCAGTTAACCTGATAGAAACTGATGTACAGCTTTTTATATTTATTCTATTGGGTAGATGTTTGACCCTTACATTATTAAGATAAGACTGTATCTTATACAGTCACTTATCTGGAAGGTGGGCCACAGGGAAAGACACTCAATACAGTACGCTAGAAACAGTAATATGGATCAAAGTTGCCATCTTTTATGCCCACTATTGTTGATTTCAATACCAGGGAGGCACTGAGTCTGCCCCTGACTCTCAGTCCTAATGTTATGTCCACACAGCCACTGGACCCTCTGGACCTGTGAAACTGGCTCCCCCGTCCAGGTCCTCTCCTCGTCCGAATGAAGGTGGGCTTCAGGAGGAATTTATATCCTTCTCCCAGTCCATATTCCTGGCACAGGGCTCCCCAGTGCTGGTCCTGGTGACCCACACGCCTGCTGCGTTTTCTTCCAGCCCATTCACCACTTACTGTACAGAGTCAAACCTTTCACTGACTTAATGAGACAAATTTGACCTGTTTGTTCCCAGGTTCTTAAACATGCTGGAGCTTTAACTGTTGTATTTTGTAACTGAAATATTTTCCCAAATTTTACAAATACATCTTACGTTGTCTGTCCTCTTATTTAGTGTGCCCTGAGGTGACCATTAGAAATACATTTCTAAAAGGTAGGAGCACGCCAATTTTTATTTTTCTTCTATTATCATTTACTCATCCTAGCTTCCCAAGTTACAATTCCCAGTATACTTAGCACTAAAAATGTTTTGTTTGATGCATACGTTACTGGGATCATTATTGTTAATTTGTTTTCTATTACAGTTCAATAGATCAGTGAAAGTAAACTTTATACGCTCAAGATAAATGTAAATAGGTTGCCTAGTGCAATGCCAAAGAGACCAGTCAAGAAAACTGGGATATAGAATAAAGCAACTGGGATACATAACAGTAATAAAAGGAGGCAATTTGGCTCTGGAATTCTTGAAAGAAGAATAACAGATGTGTAGCTACGGCAACATACTGTCAGGCCAAAAATTATAATTATACAATAACATTTCAGGGTAATCCAGTTAGTCGCTAGGTTCTGAATTCTCATTGTCAGCTTCCATTCAGTTTTACATATATCGTACTATGAGGTGCCGTTATTTCTTTAACAGGGTTCGATATGATGGAGGCCTTTGGTCTGACCAGCAGTGCATACTCCTCTGTAGAAGGGGTGTTTGCTGAGCCCTTTGTGTTCAACACTCTGCCCTCTTACAGCATCTTCAGAGATGTCCAGCTGACACAGAGCACCAGGTGAGATTGAACTGCTGATCAACCCATTTTGAAAAGAACAGCAGTACTGTAGATTCACAGGATATTTAGGTCATCTTTATACACAGTATGGAAAAGTCAACTCCAACCAAAATATTAATAACTGTCCTGTTTACAGTTACTGTTATGGACATTAAATGGGACTGTCCCCTGCCCTAGCCTTTTTTGCACATGGATTCAAAATGCAGTAATGGCTTTCAGCATTTCTCGTACAGTACATCCAATATTTAGACCTCTCAGGGACTGGAGTATAAAAGACCCCAAAGTATCCATATACAGTAGTTTGCTATTGTATAGTCTATGTGGAGGACAGATGGGGCCATCGCACTGAGATAAGTGCAGGTCTGAATAGAAATAAGTTACAGTATCTCCTCGCCTGTTTTCATTTGCCTGGTCTTTTTAGCTTTATCCACCCTGCAGGCTTTCCTCCTGAACACACCATCAGCTTCACACTCAGGCTCCTTCAGGACACCCCGAAAGAGCCCTTCGCTGTGTGGCAGCTGACAGACGAGGATTTCCAGCCCAAGATCGGGGTCATCCTAGACCGTGAGCATTGACTCTTAATTCCATTTCAGGAGCAGAACATTGAACACAGAATTAGTTATGCATGTTGTTCTGTTTTGCTACAAGTGCAAACAGGCTACCAGGTTTTTCAGGCTGAAAAAAACAATTATAAATCAATATCTATTTAATTTAGCTTCCCGTGGCAAATATGAGAACCTGTGTTAGTTTTATATTTAGAAAAAAGATTCAAATCTGAGCTTTATGCATACAAAGTATTGACTGTTCCATAAATCAACGACAAGTACTGTATATGACAAATGTTTTGAGACTTGCTGATCTTAGGAAAGAGTTTAAAGTGAGGATGAAATGGCTCTTTCTGAAATAGTCACCCTGAAAATGGATTACATCTGTAATGCCATTAGGTATTTCCTTTCTATTTATCAGAAAGCTTGGTTTGTTTTTGCTTTAAAAATGACCATTTACTTCATGTAATGTCTGCCAATTACAGAGTGAATGGTATGCCAAGCACAGGAAGGGAAATTTGGACTTTTTTCATCAGTCTCCTCCGTAGCCTCTGACCCATTTTATAACCATTACATTAAGAACATTCAGAAAAACATAAATACATCCTCTGCATAAATGAATATAAAAATCCAAACATTAATCAGTCACTATACTGTACATAGACAAACATTCTAAGATCTTGATAACAGTTGTTTTAAAGATGCAGCAAGAAAATGATTATGAAATATCTTTGATGAAATAGATGAAGAATCCTGCTCTAATGATTTTTACAGGAATTTAAACTTACAATTTTTCAATTAGCTCAGCTGCATGCTTTCCTTTTTAACCACAGCAACAATTGTTTTGTTAAATCATTTTGTTTTTTTAATATGTTTTAATGGATTTTGCAGCCGAGAGAAAAATCATCCAGTATTTCAGCTTGGACTTCAGAGGCGATATTCAGGAAGTGAACTTTGACCAGGCCCAAGTTCGCAAGCTGTTTTATGGCAGCTTCCACAAGGTCAGTGCTGAACTGGACCAGCCGATGACATACTATAGTTGAAGTCATATTAACATGGAAGGGAACCTGTCAGAAATGGATAATGAGGTAACTTCCTTGGTCATCAGAACCAGATGAGGATCAAACCCTGGACATTGAAACAGAAAGGTCCATGTTCAAACCATCTAAGCCACCCAAGCCCCTTACACTTTACCCCTCACTACTGTCTGGTCTTAAGCATGACAGAAGATATTTTTCTTACTGTGGCCCAAGATGACTTGGTCAACGGTAGCGCCTAGTATCTTTGAGGTATCACACATTTCTGGGCTCGCCGGCTTTGGTGTAGGATTTCCAATCCATTGCCACCACGATTCCTGTGTCTGAAAGAGAGACATGCAGTATGTTAATTTTTCATTTCAATAATTTTTGCCTGCAAATACCAAAGCTGTTCTGCACTGCCATTTAGTGACAGCACTGATTGTTGCTACCTCATTTTCCAGGTTCACCTGGCTGTGAGTCCATTCAGTGTCAGCCTGTATATTGATTGCCAACCTGTCGCTGAGAGCCCAGCTAACTCTCTGGGCACAATACCCACCAATGGCTTTGAGATGCTGGGCAAACTGGTAAAGAGCAGAGGACCACACAGTGGATCTGCGCCGGTAAGTTACTTGATGAATCAAGAACATTGAATCCATAGGATACCCCAATTTCCACAAGACTGCGTGAATAAAAGTTCTACGGTTGATGTTGAGGAATCATTATTTTCTGTTTTCAAGACGGATTCTTATTTTTACTGCGCTGTGATTTAAAAAACACAAAAACATTTTAATATGGACAGAGATTTTAAAAAATAATACAACAACAAGAGAAGTTTCATTCATGTCGAGTATTATTTTTTTGGTAGTTATTCACTATTATCTGAAAAATAAATTTGTTCAACGCTGACATTCCTTGCCATGTTGTATGACTCACTTGTGACTGCGGTACAAGTAACAACGAAAAGTGTTTTGCCTTCAATTTAGACAAAGGTGGGAAGCCTTTTCTACAATGAAATCAGCTGCCATTCCATTTAGGAACTCTTTTCCTTGTACTTTACTTATATGCAAAGAATCAAGTGCATCAAGTAACCAAGGCGGCACTGTGGCGCAGTAGTTAGCATTGCTGCCTCATAGGATTGGGGCCCTGGGTTCAGTTCTGGCCCTGGGGTGCTACAGTAGCTGTGTGGAGTTGATTTGTTCTCCACGTGTTTGTAAAGGTTTCCTCCCGGTACTCCAGTGTCCTCCCACAGTCCAAGTGCATACTGAGAGGTTAATTGGCTTCTGGGAAAACTGGCCCGGTGTGAGTGAGTGTGTGTCTGTATGTGCCCTGCATTGTGCCTGTTGATTTCCTGGATCGGCTCTGACTCCCCTGCAACCCTGGATCGGATGAAGCAGTGAGTAAATGGATGGATGGATGAAGTAACCATTCAAGCTATCGATAGTGAAATGTGTGGAAGTATTGATTAACAACATGTAATAACTAAAACATCCACAGTAAGTTGCTGATTGGGCAATATTCATAGTGTCAAACACTGTGGATCATTTTATAGTAACTTTTATAGTGACTCTCCCTCACTGTATGTAATCATATCAACAAAACCAAGGTAATAAATCAGACAATATCTACAGTAACAGTCCAAATATAAAATGTAATCTAACAATGTGCTTATTATATAAAGCCCTAATTATGTTTATATAGTTGGGATTTCTAATAACTCAGCGGTGATTTGCTTCTTACAGTTTCAGCTGCAGACTTTTGAGATCATCTGTAACACCTCCTGGGCATCTGAGGATACCTGCTGTGATATCCCAGCTAAGGTGAGTGTTTCATTGAGAAGCTCTCTGTTCCTTTCCAAGTGGCACGAATATACAGCACTTATATACAGCATACAGCCCTGAATATCCCCCTGGCAGAACTCTGTCCATCTACATTCCTGCAGGGCTATACATTCTTCTAACCTTTGCTTCCTCTAAAAATTCAATTAACTGGTCTAATTAAATGATTAACTGAAATACTGTAACACTTCTACTGAGAACTGGAAATTTTAGTTGCCTACTCTATTATGAATCCAGTGTGTCATTCGGGTCAAGCTTTTAAAAGATCATAAAATATTGAACATGTCAAACTGGGCTAAAAAGACAATAGGAACTAGTAAAGCTTTATTCCACCCTGGAAAGTAAATAGGAGAAACACAACGTTTCAGCTTTTAAGCCTGTTTCAAGAGTCAACAGGCTCAACAGCTGAAATGTTTTTCCATCATTTTAATTCTCGTGTGGAAATGTGAAATAAACATGTATGCAGCCAGCCCATGCTGACACAGATCCCTATTCAAACCTCTTCTAAAAGCCCATGAAGTTTAGTGTTTTGGGAGATCACATCAAAATGCTACAAGCTTCAAGCCTATTCACTTATTTTATTTACCTTTCTGCCTAGAGACTGCTGAAGGTCAGGCTGAGGAACAATAATACAGGGCCTGTAGTATTTTGAGAATCTTATAAACAGCACAGAAGCACAGGTAGCCCTGAAAGAGAAGAAACTGAATTGAAATTTATCCTGGGCACTGAGATTGCACCCCTACTCAATAAAACAGTACTCCGGGATCTTTAGAACCAAAAGCAAGCAGGAGTCTCATATCTCACCTCCTACATCACTGTGTCTCTAGTAACCCCTTCAATTTTCAATCCAAACAGGAGGGCGCCACCCACTGGTGGCCACATCCCACACAAGCCTGATTGAGTGCTGACCAAGTTGCATTGTTTCGTGAAGCTCTACTCTAATACATATTTTGTCTTTGCAGAGGGATGAGGAGGGCTGCCCACCACCTGCCTATGCTTGTACCTGCACCTCCAATATCCCAGGATCCCCTGGGCCTCCAGGTCCACCAGTCAGTGTTTTCTAAATCCTGTGCTTTATTAGTCCAGTGCTGTAACTTAGAAAATAAACTCACCTGCTCGTCCCAGACTCTGATGATCATAAGAGATATTTTAAATTATTATTAACTTGGTGGTGTTATTATTAAGTGTTTTTTGAAGCATGGGCCTACCTCAAAAGAAAAGCAACAATATATGTTTAACATATATTGTAGTGTTTTACAGCTCTGTTCTAAATATGTTTAGAATATAGTGCTCAATAGTGGTTTATGTTAATTTTTTTTTCTCAGGGCAAACCTGGGCCCAGGGGTGAGAGAGGTGAGAAAGGCGAACAGGGGCTGAAGGTCAGTTCTCTTTAGGGATCCAACACTTTGTCCAGTCTTGTAGATTCACTGTACACTGGAAAAGTTGAAAATGAGACTACCTGACTAGCAAAATGAAGCCTGGTGTTCCTTCATCCTGCATCCACTGTTTTTTTTATATGGCTACAAAACTAAAAGTACTGAAGTACAAACTTCCTTTTGCTTGCACCTCAGGTAATTATTTTAATTTTGTGCTTTATAGTTGAAACAATTACTTTGTATATGAACATCTGCATAGCTAATAGCTTTAATGTCACCTTCAAAATGTGGAATTATTCATGAAACTTAGCATATGGCTATTATTATTTGTGCTTTAAATAAAAAATGTGTTGGCGTTTTTGTGGATTAAAAAATACACCTAAGCTACATGTTACTAATTGGTAGAACTCCCCTGGTCTGGTCTTTGAGATCGAGAGTCCGTTGGTAGATCTCCTTATATCATCATCAGTGTAATACCTGAGCAGAAAAAATTCAATTGGTCCAACCCAGTCCCAGGGTCTCGTGCTGTTGATGATTTACAGAGATTCATTGGGCAGTCCCCCAGCTGCTTGAGATCTGCTAGACTGATGAGCTGCTCACAACCAAAAATGCCAACAGGGCTTAATTGTTTAATTAGCTGCTTAATCTCCACTTGTTTTCCCTTTCCTGTGCTCTTACACTGTGGCCTTTCTCCCAGGGAGAGGCAGGACCTCCAGGGAAGTTGGGATCAAGGGGGACAAGCGGCCCCCTGGGGGCCCGGGGACCCAGGGGGATGACGGTTCGAGGAAGAGCGGTAGGCACCCTAATCCAATTAATCAATTAACGGGGCTGATGGCCTTTTTTCGTTTACCCGGAATCTTGGCTTTAAGACTCCTCTATCAGATGCATGTAGAGTCTTTCCTTCTGCATTTTGTTGCTTCTAAGGTCTAGGATTTCTGTAGGATTTCAGACCAAATGTTCATTTCCTGCACTGAGGTTTTTATTTTATTTTTATGAGCCACAATAGCTGCAGTATCTATATTAGAAGCACAAATCCTGACTACATCCTGGATCAGAGTGTTTTTCATCCCCCGTTTTGCTTTGGATATGATTAGTGATCAAAATAATAAAAAAAATGGAAAATCCATAAATACCCAAACATCAAATGCCTCCAAAGTGCCATATTATGAAGTAAAGTAGATACCTCATGAGACTTATTTGTAATAGATAATTGAGAGACAGCACAGAAGGTATTGTGTTATCTTTGAAGATTCAACAGGTTTATACGCAAATAATCACACACCTTTGCCATGAGCCAGTTAGTAGGGGAAATACAGGCCCCAAATATTAGTGAATGTGAGGCTATTGCCTGTCTAATGTATCAAGGTAAGGAGACAAATGTTCCTCTGGCAGGTGTGATACCATATCGACAGACATCTTCATTTATTTGCATTTAAAACTGACAATAGGAAGTATTTCTTCAAGCATAGTCTTGGGGGAGTCCTGGAAAAAGATACCTGGCTACTTTTTTAGTGTAAGTTTCAGTGAACCCAAAGTGGTTGAAGCCTGGAAGTGTTATCTTCCACACTGAGCAAGTTCTGTTGCATTTGTGAAGAATTCTGTAATAATTATGCTGCTAATCAAATACCTGTCTTGTGTCTCCCAGCTGCCCACCAGAAACAGCCTCCCCAGCCCCGACACAGTCAATACAGTGTAGTATCTTACTTTCTTCCTTTTATATTTTGAAGGGACCTCCTGGTGAAAGAGGGGAAAAGGGAGACATTGGAAAGCCTGGACTCCAGGTACAGTAACATTGTCCTTTTGCTGATGGATCAGGTCAGATGTCACAGATTGCCAACAATCAGCAAAATACTTTCTTACCAAAATACCGTCAGCTGAGCGGTCTAAACTTACCAATACACTGCTTGTTCTATTCCACTAGGACTTAATATGATTTTGAGCACAGTCTCCAGGAACTTGCTCTGGCCTAAGGGAGCTGGACACATTTGGTCACTGTTTTTATTAATAGTAATCAAGAATGAATTGTTTTCATCAATTCTGTCTTTCCAAATTAACCCAGGGGGCCTTACATAAAGGGGGAGACCCAATTTGCCTACCTGTGGAGGACAGGAGTTTAACAATTAACAACAGTTTACCAACAGGAGTTGAATGAAGGGAGATCTTTAGGACGACAAGATTGTGCAAGCCCAAAGTGGAATTCAGCCATTACACTAATCTTGCACTGGGATGCAAGATCCCATGCAAAATGCCATGGGAAATTGAATGGGCAACTAGTCAGGACCAACTCTATGTTCGAGGTTTCATCCAAAGAGCAGCACCTCCTGCATCACAGTGTCCTATGACCACTCTGGGAGGATTTAGAAATTCTGACCAGGGGGAAGAGCGCCACCTACTGGTTTACCAACATCACAGACAGCAGCAAACAGTTTCCAAACCAGGGTCTGGACAAAGCAGGCTCTGCTGCAGAGGTCTAACCAGAGCAGTAATGTTGCTGTTAGATTCATTGCAATGTTTTTCTCTTTCCCCTACTCAGGGATTGCCTGGCCCTCCAGGTCCTAAAGGGAGGGAGGGGTTCGCAGGCCCTAAGGTGAGCCTTCAAACTGCTGTGACACTTCAGGAAATATTCTGTTTCCTCCTTCGCGGCATAAGATAATCAGAACAGATAACTTGAAAGATAAATAAAAGTAACTGTCACGCAATTTTTGTAATGATTATTTTAGATGGTCTGTACAACTGTTTTTCAGAATCATAACCTTCACAAGTAGAAATACTTGAAAATGTCAATGACAAGCACTGTATTTACACTTAGGCTTTGTGGAACATCTCCACTTAAATCATGTTCCATTTGCGCCTGAACACGTGTGATCGCCTGCGATTTACCTGGGTGTGGAAGTCAACATCGTTTTCATATTGGCACAGGATGATCGCATAATCACACTCATGAGCAAATGATTACACCATATGTTAGAGAGGGTCTTTGTCTTGCACTCGCTGAGCATGATTACGATTTAAATTCCACATTGTAAAAATGTCTTGATGCCTGTGGGGGATTGGAGGGGTATAGGAGACTTAACACCATGAAAACTTTCTGGTATGAAAATGAAATCAAATTCGCCTGGATTTGTCAAATTAAAACAGATCTACATAAACCCGTGCCTCAGACAAAAAAAAAATGGAACATAGAGCACATCTGGATAAAATCCTGTGATCTCTGGCACCATCAGTGTATGGGCGTTGATAGAGACAGAGTAGTGGGATGTCAGCTGCACTACTCAGAACCTGCAGGGGCAAAGCAAACCAGCTCTTTCTGGCCCAGTCTGGCAGAGTCTCACGTACGGGAGCCTTCTGTCTCTTGTGGACAAGAGGTGTTGCTCACGAGTACATCGGAACATGTTGTATGCTGGACGAAGCTGAAAGCTTGGCCTCAGCCTTCATTGTGCCTGTTTGAGGGCTTGTGACAGATGCTGTCTTTGTTATGGGGAGCTCTCTTGCTTTGTGTTGAAAAGAGGGCGAAGGAAGCGCTGCTTTCGGATTTTCCTGATGTGTGGTGTCTCTCGTGTCTCCCCAGGGAATCAGAGGGGCCGAGGGCAGTCCAGGATCCCCTGGCCCTTCTGGCCCGAGAGTAAGTACAGACACATGCTTGACAGCATGAAAGAGCACTCAGGTCCTGTCAGCTCATAGGGAAAATAATCTGATTCAGATTAAAACACCTCGCCTTTGAAGGCTGAAATGTGCTTTCCTGGACTGTACCTAGAGTTTGTTAAAAAAAAAAGCACAAAATGTGGCACAGGCAAAAACAAATGACAAAACTGGTAAGGTATTTCCATGCGTCAAAGCTCTCATTTACATTAAACTAGTTGTGCCTGAGTTGTCTGCACAGGTCAAGCAAACAGGCAAAATAATGATCAAGGAAATTTATTTAGGTCAAGTTTCTGATCAGTTAAATACCTCTACATCTCATTTGCAGGTAACAAATTCCAGTCCTAAAAACGCAGAAGAAAACGTGCTTTTCCAATGACTTAATAGCACAATTGTGAAGAAACCCAAGACAAAATTTTACACATAAAATTCATACACTCTGAAGCAAAGTTCGTGTGGCCTCTCACCCGCTGAGCTCTTGCTGTTGAACAGTGTTAAACTGAATTCAAGATGAACACTCCCCTGTCCATCAATGGACAAGCGTTTCCCTGTATTCTCTCATGCCCTCAGCCCTGATGTTGGCCTCTGTGTCTGTCTAGGGATTCCAGGGCATGCCAGGTATCCCAGGTGTAGTGGGAGAGAGGGGCCACCCAGGGCAGGTGGGGCCCACGGTAAGCACTGGACCGCACAACTGGGACACTTCCATCCTGGGCCCAAGATGTGATACAGGTCAGACCAGAGCCACACTGGCTCATCGGGCCAGAGTTCACCCTGGTCACCACTGGGCGGGGCTCTAGTGCCGCACAGGGATGAAGCCCCTCCAGCAATGCTGGTACTCATTTATACAGCTGGGCAGACTGGAGCAACTGGGCACTTTATTCAGGGGTACGGCAAATCCTTGAGATCTCTGCCCTTACCATTGGGTAAATAGAAGACTCCTCTCCCAAGAAACTGCTGTCTAATACAGTGATAGTACAGTAATTTGTAGCTGGTAGGCAAGTCAAAGTTTTGATTTAATCTGGGTCTAAGCGCCTCTTCCTGAAAAGAAGGAGGCATCAATCAGAGAGAGTGTTCTGGTAAATTACCGATGAAGCTGACTCCTCTGGGTCATTTAAGAAAGGATTTTACAAAAGATACTTCAATCAAACAGCAGCTAGAAACCAGTTTAGGAGCATGGGCCAAATTGCCTTTATGTGTTTTTAAGCCTCCCCATGCTCTTAGATCCTGGGACAAGAGAAAAACAGCAAAGGGCCCATGAAATGCATGTGTTTTACTTTCACAGGGGCTTTCTGGTCACAAGGGAGAGAAGGGAGAGAAGGTGAGTTGTTCTTTCTCCTTTCAGCTGCAAAAAGGAAGATATATGTGCAGTGAAAGGAGAAGCTTTTAAGACCCATAACATGCCTCTGCTCTGAATCTGGTGAATTAACTTTGCACCAGAATGACTGAGCTCTCTTTCCCTTTAATGTTTCAAAATCATTACTGCGCTGCTCAGTTTTCAACATTTCTTACATTGAATATGTTCTAAAATTGCCATAATATTATAATGAAATATAAACTACAATTTGTAAAGGGCATTACATAATGAATCATCATCAGCCTAGCTCCTTTTACTACATGATAGAAGTACAGGCCAGTACTGGAATGGGAGACCTCTGAGAGAAATTCAATGAAAAAAAAAATGTTTTTTTTTACAGTAGAGAGGAAAAACTCATGCTTGTGAAATATATTGTAACATCCATCCATTTTCTAACCACTTTATCCAATAAAGGGTCACAGAGGATCCAGAGCCTATTCTGGCCAGTAACAGGCACAAGGCAGGGTACACCCTGGATGGGACACCAGTCCATCACAAGGCACACACTCACACCAGGGGCAATTCGAACAAACTCCACACAGAGAGCACCGCAGAATTTAAACCCAGGGCCCCATAGCTGCAGG